GCCATTACCCATGATGATAAAAGAGTTAAAGGGATTTCTTAGTCTTACAGGGTATTATATGAGGTTTATAAAAGGATATGGAGTACTTGCTAAACCCTTAATTAAGTTGCTTAAGAAGAACACCTGGAAATGGACTAAAGTTGTAACTTAAGCATGGGACCAATTAAATTTAGCCATGACTACAACACCCATTTTGGCATTACTAGATTTTTTAGCTGAATTTGTGATGGAAAGTTATGCTTCTGGGCTAGGCGTTGGGGCTATTTTAACTCAAAATGGAAGGCCTTTAGCTTGCTTTAGCAAGGTGTTGGCACCAAAACATCAAATCCTATCTATCTACGACAAGAAAATGATAGTTGTCTTGATGGTTGTAAAGAAATGGAATGCCTACTTAGTTGGAAGGCATTTCAAGATAAAAACAAACCATCAAAGTCTGAAATTTCTTCTAAAGCAACAGGCTATTACTTCAACTCAACAGAGGTGGGTGACAAAGATGATGGGCTATGATTATAAGTTTACTACAAAAAAGGTTCAGCTAATATAGTGGCTGATATGTTATCAAGAAATCTAACAATGCAAGGTTCTCAACTTATGTCCATCTAGGATTCAAATAGCGACCATAAAATTACGATAGTGCCACCACCCGCCACTGTTATTGGATGAAATGCGATTGAAAAATTCATTCACAATCAAAACGGTGGCCACAAAATAACGGTGTAATAAGGAATAGGACAATAACGGACCGTTATTGCTACTATTTTATTTTCCTACTCACGGATCGATAGTTCAAGATAAAAATAAAATTTCAACATTGTAAAATAAAGCAATAAGCTTGCAAAAGTAAAAGTAAAAGCAAAAGAAAAAAAATAAAACTCTGAACCTCAGGTCCTCAGCATCAAAATCAATCTAAAAACAAATTAGAAAATAGACAAATTATTTATCAACAATTCCATCGGCACTTTGGCACCCAAATTCAAATCAACCTCAAGTTTTCAATCAACGTTCAAGATCAAATAAGGTAAGAAAAGAAAGTTAAATTACCTTTTTTTTTTTTGCAAAATTTTTGTAAAATGATGTCTGTTGTGAGAGTTTGAGAAAGACAAATGAGGTATTCTATAGGTACTAAGTAAGTGATAGTGATGAAGAGATACGAGAGAAAATGAGAGATGAAAAAAAAAGAAAAAAAGAAGAAGATTCTCAAAGGCCAAGCTTCAGAAGCAAGAAGAAGACGAACAGAAGATAGCAAGTTGGGTTCCTGGGTGGGTTTGCTGGGATTAGACAAATTGGGAGATATTGGGGCATGTGGGTGGATGGGGGATTTTGTGGGGTGGGATAGAGTAAGGGTGGGGCCATTGGAGGGAGGTGGGGGGGATGAATTTTTTATTTAATTTTTAAAATTTTTTTAGATAAAATTTAATTAGAGGTTTTAAAAATTTATAATTGAAAAAATAAGAGATTAATAATTTAATATAAGATATATAGAGATTTTAGATGAAAAATTTTGATAATTTTTTTTGTATAAGTTAAATGAAAAATAATTAAAATTAAATATTATATTTTAATTTTGTTATATATTAATTTATGATTTTGTATTTGAAATTTAATAATTTTTTTGTTGTTTTGGTATTTATATTGTTGTCAATCTTTTGATATTAGATTAATTTTTATTATTTTTGTGTAATTATTGAAAAATTTATTTATTATATAATTATTGAAAATAATTTGTGATAAAAAAATTTATATCAATTAGTGTATCAAAAAGATTAAGTTACTTAATAAACTTAGCATTTTATGATCTATTACTCTTGTTAAGATTAAAAATTAAAAAATAAATAAATTTAAAATTATTATATTTTTAAGTTTGTAATTTTATTAAATATAGATGCTTGGTATTTAACATATTATGTTTTGTTAATATTTAATTTGTCTAGAATTAATATTTAATATGAACTTTGCCAAGAAAAATTTTGTGGATAAACCAAATATGAATGCTTTATTATAATCTAAATAAAATTGTGAATAATTTTTTTAGAAAATAAAGAATATAGTGTCATAAACTATTTTAAAAATAATTGAATAAGAGTTTTAATAATTATAATTATAATTATAATTATTACATTTTATAATAAATTATGCAAAAAAAAAAAAATTTCATGACGTCAATGACCACAATGACCGCAATGATTTTCGTTATATTCAAAAACACAATAAACGCGACACGACCGAAAACGTGATAACGATCGTTATTTAAATCCCTATCCATTTCAATAATACACAGTAGCCTATTAGTCAAGATTCTTGGAAGCTTGATGCTAGATTACAGAAACTGATCAATGCACTTAAAGTCAGTCCTGGATAGAATTCTTAAGTATAGCCGGTATGGGGAACAATTGCGGAGAAAAGGAAAGCTTGTAGTTGGTAACCATCCTGACTTAAGAACTGATGGCTTATTTCCATAACAGTCCCTCGGGAGGCCATTCAGGGACACAGGCTACCATTGATAGAATTGCTGGTGTATTGTAGTGGAAAGGATTAAGGAAGGAAGTGAAAATGATGATTAGAGAATGCATCACTTGTCAACAGTACAAATATGATAATTTTGGTACCCTTGGACTACTCCAGCCTCTACCTATTCCTGACAGAGTTTGGGCTTATATAAGTTTGGATTTTATTGAAAGGCTACCAAGGTCAGAGGGAAAAGATGTTATTTTGGTGGTGGTCAACAGGTTAAGCAAATACGCACATTTTATTGTCATAGCCCATCCTTTTACAAACAACAATCTGTGTGCAACAGGCACTGTATGAAACTATCTGCTAGTTATTTTGGGCCCTTTCAAGTGTTGAAAACGGTTGGTAAGGTAGCATATCAGCTGCAACTACCACTGAGGTCTCGAATTCATCCTATTTTTCATGTGCCTTAACTCAAGCAACACATTGGCAATATCCTCAGTTAAAGTCAGTTTCCTGTGATTGGCATTGATGGCATCATTGTCAAAGAACCATTGCAGATTCTTGACTGAAGGATGATAAAGAGGGGAAATAAGGCCGTGACCGAGGTGCTGGTGAGTTGGACCACTAAATTTCTTGAATATGCTACTTGGGAGTTGTTATACCATCTGCAAAAGCAATATCCACACTTTAATCTTTGAGGACAAGGATTGTTTTAACGAGAGGCGTATTTGACGCAGGATGATAAGTAGCAAGTTAGTTAGTAAGCCCATTATATCAGTCCAGTAGTCAAAAGTTTCATTAGAGCCCAATACTTATTCAGCTTGTTAAACCTATTGTGGTATTTCCTTATTTTCTGTCACATTTTAGTAGGAAGTCGTTGTGGGGAGCTGTAATTCCGAGATTCTCGGAGGGGAGGAGGAGTGCATATAGCATTACAATATTGCATTGTAACGACAGACAATGAATTAAGAAAATTCATTTCTCTCTGTTTCTCTTTGGAATTCTCTGGTCTTATTTCTCTTTTCTTCTCTGTTTTTCTGTATTGACTCAACTTGAGTGCGCACCAGCTAGAGGGACCTAAATCTAACCCCTCACACTAGATCAGAGAAGAGCTTGATCTAGCTTGACCCTCCCGCCAAATCCAGCCACACAAAGGGCGCTTTCGCTTCAGCTATTGGAGTCAAGGGTAAGGGGTCGGATTCCACCATTCCGCCAAAAGAAATAATAGATGAAAAAAAAAAAGAAGATAAAAGATAAAATTTATTCTTTATCAAATTAATGTAGAAATATTTTATATTATTATAACTTATTTAACTTTTACAAAAAATCATTTAAATTATAAAATAAATATTATTTATTTAGAAAAGTACAAAAAAAAAAAGGAAAAGATTAAAAATATATTTAACAAAAATAATATAAATTCAATGCTTTTTTAAATTTTTATTTAGTTTTTAGTAAGTTAATTGTTTTTATATTTTTATAAATTATTTCATTTTTAAAAGTTAATTTAAATTATAATACAAAAATCATTTTGATTTTTCTCTAATCACAAAATAATTTTATTAAAAGAAAGTTCACCTCATATTTTTTTGATACACATCAAAGACATATGGATGAATCTGTTAACATAAGTCAAATACGTCTTCAAGCCTTTGGTCTAATTGCTAAAAGTGTTTGGGGACATCAAAGATCTGATTTTGAATCAAACAAATCAAACACATGTTATCTATGTAGCATTTAACAAAAAAAAAAATGATGCTTAGATAATAGAATTATCGATTTGTTTAGATTATTGACAATTAGGGACTAACAATTTTTAATTTTTGAAGTTTATATATAAAAAAGGTACGTGCCTCAAAGTTTTTAAATCATGTGTATATTTTTAAAAAATACTTGTAATTTATTCTTTTTTAACCTAATTTTTGTTTTCATTTTAATGGAATATGCAGGAAAGCGAAAGCGCTAAAAAATGTAATAAAATTGAATACATAAAAAAGTTGAAAAAACTTAAAAAAAAGAATTCAACGCATATTGCATATTCTCTAAAACATTTTGAAATTCTATTCTTCTAAGAAAGAGTAGATAAAGTTGTCTTCGTATCGTAATTCAATCAAAATCGCCGCTGGCCGACCCTCCCCCTTCTCCCTTACCTTCATCCCCTTCAATCTCTGTTCCCTTTCTCTTTTCTTCCTCTCCCAGACTCCTTTCCTCACTTTTTTTTTTTTGAAATTTTTTATTTTTATTTCAAAAGTGAAAAGTTAAAAACAAAGATTTTTATATTTTTCATATTTTTGTTTTCCAAAAATTTTAATGTCAATATATAAAAGAAAAAAGGCATTGAGAATTATATGTTTAGTTTAAAAGACTTTTAAAACTGACTATACGATCAAACTTTTTTACCGTCAAATTGATAATTTCGGCGCAAAATGATATTTTTTTTCAAATTAATGGATTGACCGTAAATTAGGAACAAAACTAAAGGAGATGAATAAAATTTACCTCAGATTTTAACCGTGGTATTTCCCTCAGGAAAGAAAAAATAGCACTAACTTTTGGGTAAAAAAAGCTTAGCCACAGCATGCCATTTTACTAAAATATATGGTAGAGAATTCCCACAATATTGCCATCCATGTCTAGCATTGTTTTTTTTTTTTTTTTTTAAATCATTGTAACTAAGAGTTTAACAATTTCCCAATAGACCTCGTGATTACGTTGATTAACATGTGTTCCAACTGACAGGCTTGTAAAAGAAGCCGAGTACAAATCAATTTGCCGGAGTCTACCTTCCTTTCATTGATGGGCTCAACGTCAGCCTGCATATTGGGCAATCTTCCTTTCAAGTGAACTTTTATCAGCCCCAACCACCTTATCAACTTCCTTTCCATTTCTTATAAAGAAAAAGGTAGGAACACTGCTAATATTCCAGCACGCAGCCACATCCCTACCCGCATCTATATCAACTTTTAAGAACACCACTTTCGAATATTTTGCAGCTAAACTTGTATAAAGAGGAGAAATGAAGCGACAGGGACCACACCATGTTGCAGTGAAGTACAATATCACCAGGCGAGATGTTCTTGTAGCAGCGTTCAACTTAGTTTCCAGCTCACTGGTGGAGTGAATGCCAATAACCTGCCCTGTAATTTTCAAAAAGCACCGTAAGGTAACATATATGGATGCTTGTCCCATAACCAACAGTAATGCAATTCACATGTGCACAAAAGAAATAATCCTAATGGTTGGCGGTGTGGACTCTTCCAACTGATCCCATGAGATTTTATGATCCATAAGTTGTCTCAAAGCAACTATAAAATGATCCACATGGAGGCCATTCTACCAGTTTAAAAAGCAAAAAAAAAAAAAAGAAAAACAGAACAACAGAACAAGAAGAATTAATAAGAGAAATGAATAAAACAGCACAAGTAGTAGTGACACAAGAAATGCATTACCTATGTAGACTTAAGGTCAGTATCGCAAATGGTTTGTTATAGCCATGTAGAAAGATTTTCCAGTCTCTTAGGCCATTTTGAGTCTTTAATTACATTATGAACACTTCTTTCTAGCTTGTTCAAATGCTTTTCGCTTGAAAGATTATATGAGGCATACTGGATATTGAAGAATAGTGGCATAGCAAAAAGAAAAATTCACTAGGGTTTTGTCAGAAGTACAATTATCTAACATGACACTTTTATTCTTTATACTATTATGTTAAATCTAAAAGTTTTAGATATGTTAAAAAATTAAATATATTATCTCTCTATTTCAATAAAAACTTACTACAATTATCTCATGCTTTTGATAGAGTCATCCCCGAATTTTGCGTTAAGTTGGTTATATACCGTCTGGATACCTTTTGCTTCGGAAAATTGAAAGAAAAAAAAAAAAAGAAAAACAGATATATTTAGATACAAGGCAAATTATATTTTAAATAAGTTAAAAATTAATCCTTGTGATAATAAAATCCAGAATATTATATGTAAATAAATATATAATATATCTCAAATGATATGAAACAATTATATTTTAAAGTATGTCACATTTAACATATTAATGCTTATTAACAACCACTAATTAGAGTTTAAGACTAGACAGGATGGATTTATGGGAATGGGAGAGGGCTACCTCCCATTGTGTAGCCCAATATCACTTGTACCAAAAATTTATATATTTATATTAATACTAATTAAAAGACTTTTTAAGATTTTTTACATATTGTTAATTGCCATCATAAAATTAAATGAAAATTTTACTTATTTGATCCTTCTATTTTAAGTATTTGTTCAATTTTAATGGGGTCAAATAAGAAAATTACAAAGAATTTAACTAACCCTTATTTATAAACATAATCTTTCTACTGTCAAGTGGGGTCAATTGATCCCACTCAACACAATGTAGCTACTCTATCAAAGAAAAATCTTTTCTAATATGTCATCTTGATCAGGATTTGAGTTACAATTTTGTCAATAGAGATAGACTGAAAAGGTTCATTTTCTTAAACATCTCTTAACTTAAGTTCATTTTCCCTACTTCTATTACAATTAATTAAAACCCTAATCTCTGAAACATTATGCTTTGAAACAAATAAAGAAGAAAGCTCAATTTAGAGATCCCGCATCACTAATGGTCCATTTGGTAGGAAGGTAAGAAAGGGAATGACAAGAAAAAAATTTAACCTAATGGTTGAGCTACAAAATAGCACATATCATAATCCCTATCATTAGATTAAAAAATTTTCCATTCTTCCCCCTTTCTATCCTCCCCACCAAACATAGCGAAAGCAAAGCATTATATTTTTCACCATAGCATGTCCTAGACTAAAACATAATATATCCTAGGCCATCACAAGCAAAATGCTATCAAGACAAGCTTTCAGAAGAAGTTTCCATTTGACAATGTTAGATTTTTTTACAGTATCATGTATCTTCTACAGAAACTATAAAGAATAACCGATTTGAAGTCATCTTCTTTTTTTTCTTTTGCTTTTTGATAAGTATAAGGAAAGACACATGAAGCTATTAAGAAAAGCTTTTAGTATAGAAGTTTCCTTTTGAACAAGTTACAATCTGTATCATGTATCTTCTACAGAAACTATAAAGAATGGCCAATTTTAAATTCTTTTTTTTTTTTTTTGATAAGACAAATTTTAATCTTAAGGAAAGGCACATGAAATTGGACTAATTCATCTATAGATATCAGAAAGGAAACCTAAAAACAATCCTTCAAAAGATATTCCAAGTCTGAATAAAAAAGCTAGATCGGGGAAAAGAAATAGAGTTGACAGTCACAAACAACAATCTAAGAATGTGCACAAAATATCCTAATGCATTTCCCAGGCAAGACCAGTTTCAACCCTATCAGTCCCCAAACAAGCCTGCTTAGTTCATATTTTCTACGTTAAAGGAGACTCATGGGGTTCATTCACAATGACTGCCTTGAATCAGAGATACCTACTTTACATTCTGTAATTTCACAACTACTCCCAGGATCCTTCACTATAAGTCGCTCAAAACTTCCATTTTTTTACTTTTGTGCTTAACATCTGAGACGCTTTGAACTCAAAGAAGGATTTTCATACTTTAAAGTTCCCAAAGATTTTCAGATCCTCCAATCTAGGCTTCTATCTTCTTGGTCTTAATTCTTTTTGCAGATAATAGAGCCTATAATCCCAACAGAATTGTGAAACCACGATAATTCATCAGTATAAACTGTAGTTTTGGTTAAATGTTGTTCAGAAACCTGTTCAACCAAGTAAGCTAATAAAGGATAACAGATATGGCGAAGACAGTCTGTATGGGGTTTATGATGGGCTTGTCTAAGAAATTAAAGACTTTAGGGTACGAACCTATGATTAAAAAGGATTAGGGTTTGACTCAATTATCAATGAATCTTCAAAGAGGGATGACAATGTGGAAATGTCTGGAAAAGGCTGGTAGAATTTTTCTGCAGCAACATAATTGGAAGACAAGTTTAAAGGTTCTATTCTGCATTCTTGTGAACAGTAAACCATGTTACTATAGAAGTTGAGTTGGACAATAGAAAAAAGAAGAGAACATTCTCAACCAATCAAAAATTTTCATAGAACCTTCACTGTCTCAAGGCCTTCAGAAAATTCAACTCTAAAAAGTCTAGCAAAAAGAGAGTTATCAACTGATATTCAAGGCTTGTGCTTCTCCTGCAGGTTCTTGAAAACATTAGGCTTAGGTATAAACTTAACTGACAAACTAAATATTACTTTAAAACCCTGATAGCTCAACAAATCCATAATCAAACGCAATGATCCATTACTAAACGCTTTCTAGCAAAACGGAAGATTACCAAAATAACTCCAGACACACAAAACTCAATTGAACTGATACTTCAATAATGTCCAATGCGCTATGAAGGGCATCTTCTTTGTTGATGAAAAACACATGATATTAGCCACTTCCAAAGAGGAAAAGATCTATCTAACCAAGCTATTAATGAGTTATTAAACAACTTCATTATAAGCATCAATCATCAGACAATTGATGATTATGATGAACCAGACGAAACTAAACCACATACAACTTCACATCATAAGCATTTTCAACAAAGAGTATTGTAATAAATTTTTCAAGGTCCTTCCCATAGGATTTTTACCGGAAACATAAGCCTCTTTTAGATTCAAGAGTAGCCCTCTCAAAGATGCTGGTAGTCCCAGTTCATTAAAGTTGAACAATCTCTCTAGAGAATGCCTCAGTGGAGGCCTATATAAAGCATATACCACAAGAAAAATGAATAAGAAAGAAAACAATATCCATACCATCTTTTAGAGCAGATAGTGCTTTCTGATCCTGCACAAATTCAAAGATTAATAAGTTTCAGAATAAACACTATGACAGTTATATAAGACAGAACGAAAGTTCGCAATCGATACACAGGGCTGATAATAAACTACTAAATTATTTGACTCACATGGCCCCTACCCACCACATAAAAAATGAAAAATAAAACATCATTTATAAGCTTTCCTTGTAATCATATCTAACAACACCAAAATGAATGATGCCCAAGATAAATGAATCAGCTGTATAGACCACGTTTAAATGCAATAAAAACATCCCAGTTCTTGAATGGTAACTACATGCTTTTACAAAGTAAACTCTAATAGACCAAGAAAATAGAAAATAACATTAGCCTTAAGTGGCAGATGCATACTAAACTTTATTTTCATAAGACTTTCATTGTTCTTAATCATAATGAGCCCATGGCAAAGTTTAGGCACCAAAATAGATTGATAAATATTTCTGCCATATAATTAAACAATCATATTAATTAATTACACTTACTTGTGCTTCAGCTTTCTGCTGTTGACTCTGCCATCCAGTGCTTTTTAATTCCCTTTCTTTCCGCAAGCGTTCATATTTTCTGCGATGCTCTTCAATTTTGTGTGCATTAGGTTCCACCTGCATATTAAAGATGTTACCACGAAAAAGCATTTGCTAAGGAACAATAATCAAAGAACAGAAACATTACCTTTTTGAGTACTGAACCAATCTCCTCATCATAATCTAACTTTGATGCTACATGCAGATCACTTGCTGATTCTTCCCATCGGCCTAGCATGGCCCTTGCCATCCCTCGAACTTTATATCCTTTTGCTGAGTCTGGATTGATCTAAACATAAAAAATTAACTTCAGGTAATCACCATTATGCCAAGCAAATATAAAATAAAAAACTAGAGACTAATTAATCTGATACTTGTTTGCAATCTAAGCAAGCACAGAGAAAGGGAGGGATGATACTTCTAAAGCTGCATCAGCATCATGGATTGCAGCATTCGGTTTGCTCAATTTGATAAAGACACTAGCTGAAAACAAGCATGACAGACTTTCAAGAGAATGATCTCGTAGTAAGAGAGGGAAAAAATAGAAATAAATAAAGTTAGGGATAACTTATGCTTTAAATAAAATTACCTCTAGTGGCATATAATATTGCTGAGGTGGGATTTAACATGATAGCTTCTGTTAGATAATCTATGGCTTCGTCCAGCTTACCTGAGGAGGCAAAGAAACTTAAAATCTGTAAAGAAATGAGCAAAAAAAGAAATCATCAATTCAAAAAGCGCAGCATGCCTTCAGAGATTGCCTCAATAGCTTTTAATTTTTCTGTTTGAGCAGCATCCCGCTTATCCTCTGTAACTTCAACTGAAGGGTCTCCCATCTGAATTAAAAGAAGCAACATTTACTAGTTTAGCATGAAAGTCGATTACAGTCCACCAAACTGAATTAAAGACATAGAAGAAATCATATAGGAAGGATCACTCACTTTTACTGGAGGATTGTTGTCAGGTTCCACAACACCCGTGTCATCTAACTCGACATCAGACTCAACAATATCATCATCTACTTCATCTGAAAAGGTGCGTTTTTTGGCATCAGAGTGTTGCTGGGGCTCTGCCATGTTAACACCACCTCTATCCTGCAAATTGGTACAAAATATGAAGCTAAATGAAACAGGTATAGTCACTTTCCACCACCATCCCTCCGGAAAATCTTAGCCAAGTTCAGCATATAATTCTCTTTTTGCTAAAATCATAGCACTAGTAAAAACATAAAAAAGAAAAAACACTATCTCTCCAAGAAGGGGAGAAATCAGACAATTAATTTAATTAAAACACCAGCACCATGGAAATAAAAAAAAAAAAAAAAAAACCCAGTAATAAAAACATAAATCTCAAGCAAAAGACCCTGTTCTTGGATAAAGAAAAAAGAAAGAAAGAATCAAATTTTGCTAGAAAAATCGAAGCTTTAGTTAATAAGCAGAATCTTACCGTTTGTGGGTCAGGTGGAATTTGAGCACCCAGACTTCAAAAACAAGAAATCAAAAAATATGTCAACTCCCCATCAAAGAATCACAAAAGCAAAAGCAAAAGGAAATTTTTTTTTTTAAATCTATATATGCTAAAAAAAAAAAATTACCTTTGGAGATATGACTTGAAGAAGGAAAGAGATGGGCTGTGGAGAATTGAAGGGTTCGATCTGCACTGATCAACAAATAGCTTTAACTCTGATACCTTTGAAGCATCCATCACCATAGCCTTCAAACTTCAAATACATGCCTAAATTTTTGTTCTTCTTTGGCTCTGTCAGCATTTCTTAATAGAATCTATCTAGAAAGCGCGTGAAGACTCTCGTGAAGGGTGGTGGCCCACTTCTTGATCAAATGAAACCGGTAATGTGATGTTGTTGATGTTTTGCTGATCGAAAGGACTGGGGAACTAGTGATGGAGCTGAACGTACATGATCATCAGCCCTTCTGCCTTTGTAAATATTGATAGTAATATATACTTTTCATGCTTTATTTTTTATTCGGGATTATCAAATTTGTATAATACTCATTAAAATTAAAAATTCAACAATTTATTAATAATTATGGTCATTTCCTATGTTTTCCATTATTTGCTTTATAATTTAGCAATATTGATTGCAATCGTTTAGACATAAGGTACGATGATTTTTATTTTTATTTTTTTTTGTGTTTACTACATGTATATATATATATATATATATATATATATTTCACTCAATTCTATAAATACGGATAATTTCAGTGTGAGAAAAGTACAAACTGTTTTTTTTGTCAAATTATGTCAAAAGTTTTTATATTTTGTGAAAATTTAAAATTTAATCCTTGTATTATAATTTATACATATTTAATCTTTATATTATTTTAATTTAATAATTTTAATTCAATCATTAATTTTATCAATTTTTTATCGTTAAAAATGATAATACAACTATTGATTTAGTGATATGAACATTGATTTTATTGACGTGACATTGATTTTATTGATGTGATATTAACTTGCTAACATAACAATTAAAATCGATGAAATCAATTATTAAATGATGCAAACAGTTTCTGTATTCATACAAAATTTAAAATTTAATCATTTTATTCATACAAAATTTAAAATTAAGTCTCAGTACTCACATGAAAAATTGAAATTTAGTTCTTATAATACAAAAATATTTAGAATTTTTTAGAAATTTTTTAGTTTTTAATTTAAAAAAATATCATAATATTCTATCGTAATATTTTGTCACAACATAGAAAAATCTATCATAATGTTCTGTTATAATTTTCATGTATTGTCATTAAATTTGTCACAATTTTTTTTCACCTATGTGAAATATTGTTACTAATTCCGTCACTATTTCTTATTCATTCCGTCATAAAATATAAATTTGTTATTAATTTTGTCACATTTTTTTGTCATAATTGTAGCATTTTATGGTCATATGAAAAAAAATCTTACATAAATCTATTAAAAATCTATCACAAATTTATCAATATATGATACAAATCTGTTACTACCTCATTTTAATAAAACTATTATTTTTATTAATTTATTAAATGAATTAGAATTATAAGAGTAAAATTATCCATCAAATAGTATTTTTATTCCTTTAAATTAAACTCTATTTAAATAATTTTTTATAATCAAATATAAGTTCAATATTCTAAATACATTAAAATAATTTACTAAACTCAATGTGTATTGATTTTAGAATTAACCTTATTATTTAATTTAACATCATTATTTAGATAAGTTATTTTTTTGAACCTAAAAAAATTGAAAGTTCTCATAATAATATGTAATATTGATGTTTTTGTTTATCAAATAAATCATTTTCTCTTTTCGTTTTATTAGGATTCAAAGTTCGTCTTCAAAAAGGATATGAGCTCGTCTCTTGTAAGAAACTAGGTTTTGAATCTTTTATTTTGTTTGATTGGATGGAATGGTCATTTCATTCATGGTCTATTTCAAGTTCATTACAAATGTAACTCTTTTCAATAGTTTAGTTCATTATAAATTTTATTATATGACATATTTAAACTAATTAAAATAATATTAATTTTGATATATTAATTTAAATTATTAATATTATAATTGATTAATATAAATGACAACAATATTATTGTTATGATATTATTGATAATTAATTATATATAATAAAAATAATATATTTCTAAAAAAAATTATATATGAAGGACTAAAATATTTTTAAAAGTTAATATTTTTAAAAAATTAAAATATTTTTATATTAAAGGGATTAAATTTTAAGTTTCGTGTGAGTATAAGAAATATTTACATAATTTAACTATTGATTTTATTCATCTAAATTACCATGTAAGCAAGTCAATGCCACATTAACAAAATCAATGCCAACATCATTAAGCAATAGCTAAGTTAATATTTTTAATGGTAAAAAATTAAACAAAGTTAGTGATTTGATTAAAATTATCAAATCAAAATAGTATGAGGATTAAATTTGTATGAATTATAATGTAGGGATTAAATTTCAAATTTTTACAAAGTAAAGGGATCTTTGCATCTTTACATTGCAATTTACGTCCTTCTGGAATGATTATAAAATTGGAATCTTTGATAAATGGAACTTATGAAGTGTGCCTCTTTTTTTCACTTCCCTATTTTGATAATAACAGCTTCTATATTTCTTCCTTAGCTCTGAATGCATGCAACTAGAGCATGTAATTGTTAATAAATTCTAGTTTGGACTACTTTTAGGAAATAAAACTTCACAGTTGGCAATCCTGTTGCAGGAAAATACCAAAATGGTATAAGAACAAAAAAGGAAGATATTCATAGTCATAATCCATGTCACTTTATTTTGGTGGCCTTGTTAGGAAAGTGAGTTTCAACCCTATGGGTTATTTGACTATTCAAAGGCCATGGGCTTTGTGTTTTTAGGCTTCCTTAAGAGAGCCTTACATAATAAAAGGTAAGGGCTGATTTTTTGGTGAAAAAAAGGGTAAAACAGAAGAGGCACCAAAGAAAGAGAAAAAGTAAAGCTAAAAAATAGATAACAAAAGAAAAAGAATAAGTTGGTTGAATGAAAGTTCATCCATAGTCTGATTGAGTTAAAATTTTGTCAGCAAGTTTATGATTTAAAGTTCTACATTCTGAACAGTAAAAATATAATTTAATGCTCTCTAGGAACAAATTTAAGGTATATTTGTTGAGTCACCTATTTAGTGAGATTTCTTCAATTATCTTTCTAGCTGTTGATTAGCTTTAGTTTTAGCTAGAGAAGAACTTTGTATATCCATTATTTGATAGTAAAGATTTTTTTAGTGGTTTATAGTTTTTTGTTCTACATTGAAGGGTTTTTCATATAAATTTTGGTGTGTTTTATTTTTCTTACGTTGTTGATTATTGATTATTATCTATTACTGTGAGTTTATTACGATATGTTACTTTTGTGTTGTTGTATTTATTGCTTCAGGCCCAATAAGTGGTATCAAAGTAAGGATTATTTTAAGATATCAATATAAAAGTAACCTAAGATAGAAGTAAATTCTATTTAAGATCATAAATGGTGATACAGGTTTTATAATAAAATTGATAGCATCAAATTATTCAATTTGAAAACCTATGATGAAAGATCATTTATACTATAAAGATTTGTATAAGCTGACATTGATTGATTTGACTAATCAACAAATATGAAATATGAAAGCTGGAAGAAATTAGGTAGAAGACGTTGGCTACAATGAGTTGATATCAACGTGTTTTATCATGTACTATAGAATATAGATGCCCACATTGTTTGAAAAAAATTAACAGCATTGTATGAGAGAAAAACATGTATAAATAAAGTTATGGTTGTTAAAAAGCTTACAATTTTGTAGTATAAAGATGGACGATCGATTATAGAGTACTTAAGTGATTTTCAAGATATATTTAATCAGATGACTACTATGGAGCTTAAAATGGATGATAAAATGAAGGCGTTGTTTCTTTTGGGTTCATTACTAAATATTTGGAATACTTTAGTTATGATTATTCTTAATGTAGCTCTTGATTATAATGTAACATTGGAAATGGTAAATCATAATATGCTTAATAAAGAAGTAAGACGAAAAGATTCAAACCCTGAGAATCAAGCTCTGGTTATAGAAAATAAGGTAGAAACATTAATAGAGGTTAAAACTCAAAAGATCGTAATAAGTTTAAACATAGATCCAAGTCCAAAGATAAAATGAAGTGTTTTTATTATGTTAAAGCAGGTCATATAAAATAATACTGTAAAATCTTAAAATAATAGTGGAAAAATGAGAAAGATAAAAGTTCAGATGATCGTATTGTTGCAGCAGTGAATTTAGATAGTGATTCAGTTACTTTGATTTATACATATGGTGATTGTAATCATGTTAGTGATCCCAGCATTGAGTAGATAGTTGACACATGAGTGACATATCATTATGTTTCTAAGAGGTAGTTGTTTACAACTTATAAGACTTTGGTTACGTCAAGATGAGAAACAAGAGTGTGTCGTAGATTGTTAAGATTGGTGATATTATTATACAAACTAGTATAGGCTATATATTGACTTTGAGGGATGTTAGACACATTTCAGATATAAGAATGAACTTACTTGCTATTAATATTCTTGATAAGGAAGGATATGAGAGTCGAAAAAAGAATGGATAGTGAAAGCTTCTTAAAGGATCTATGGTAGTTGTAAGGGGAAAACTATGCTACATAATGTATATGACATGGATGTAATTAAATGGCAACCAAATAAATGCTATTGAGGATAATACTTCAGCACACTTGTGGCATAAGAAGCTAGCATATATGAGTGAAAAAGGGTTACACATTTTGATAAAGCAATCTCTCATTCCCTTGACTAAAGGTTTATCTCTTGATTCATGTGATCATTATTTATTTGGTAAGCATCATAGAGTTTCTTTTTGTAAGAGTTTTTAGAGAAAAAATAGATTAAAATTGATTTATTCTCATGTATGTAATGCCATAGAGGTTGAATCATTAGCAGTTAGCAGTATTTTGTTACTTTTATTGATGGTGTTTCACGTAAGACTTGAGTGTATGTATTGAAAAACAAAAGTCAGGTATTACAATATTTTTAAAAATTTCATGTCATAGTGAAAAGAATAATAGGGCTGTCTTTGAAGTGTATTTGGACTGATAATAGTAGGGAATACACATCCAAAAACTTTGAAGAATATTGTTTAAAGCATGGGATCAGGCATGAGATGACAGAACCTAGCACATTCCAGCATAATGGTGTAGATGAAAGGATGAATCGCACCATTATGAAAAAAGTCAAATGTATGTTGAGGATGACAAAATTACCAAAGCTATTTTGGGGTGAAGCAGTCAATACAGCTTGTTATTTGCTTAATAGATCACCATTAGTTCCTTGAGGCTTTGACATTCCAGACAGAGTGTGGACAAGGAAAGATGCTTCATACTCTCACTTGAAAATTTTTAGGTGTAAAGCATTCATGCATGTGCCAAAAAAATAGAGGTCAAAGCTTAATGGTAAAGC